TAACAAGTGTATATATGTGGATACTTCAAAAAGTTATGGAAAAATGATATTAAATTACAAGTTTATTTTGGTGCAAAAACTTTTTGAAATCTATGCATAGTTTTTTCATTATATGCATTTAAATGAACTCTTCAAAGACCACCTTGTATTACTTAATTTTATTAATCTTCATGTGGTTTTCTATATGTGAATTATATGGCTGGGTTTGAACTGAAGAAATTGTTTGGTCAATGTCTTTTTAAATTTCAGTTTAAATATATCATAAAAATTAAAAGAGTATTTTATGTTTACTTCAAAATTTCTAATTTCATTAGAAATTTCCAAACTTGAGTCAGCCTATGGCATAGTGGTTAAGGCAGTTGGAGTCCAGGACGTGGTGGCTTAAAAAACGTACCAGGCATATTTGCATACGTGCCCCAAATCCTGAAAGGAGAGAGAAATGGAGGATAAAGGGATTGCAGCATGACCATTTTCTGTAGGAGATGCTTTCTACTTTCCCTTTCTCTGGTTCTTTCTGTGTCTCTCTAATGAAGGCACATGGCCTATGGCCAAAGCAAAAGAAGGGAAGGAAGGAACAAATGAATTAAAAGAGAAAGAAAGAAGAAAGGAAGAAAGAAATTCCTGAGCCTTAGTTTTTTTCCATGAGATTATTGATTATAGCCTTTAAGAGTAAATAAATTATTTGAAATATTTATAATGAACTCTAAAATGTAATCATTATCCTTCTACTAGTTAAAATGTGTTTACCTGAGCTTACACATGTACTTAAATGCTCACTTTGTGTTTATGCTATACAAGTTTAGAGGTACTCAGTGAATCCAGAAATTTATAACTACTACGCATAAATTAAATAATTCTGAAATAGGCTATTGGATCATCGGATAAGTCATGATATTTTTCTGTTTTTCTATGCAAAAATGCATCATGGGGACCAGCAGGTGGTGGGGTGGTTAGAGCACTGGACACTCCCTTGTGGCTGACCACAGTTCGAGTCACAGATCTGATGGCTTGCTTTCTCACTTTCCCTCTCTCTCTCTCTGTGTCTCTCTCTCTGGTCAAATTAAAATAAATGAATGAATAAATAAGTAACTTTTAAAAATGCATCATTTTTCCAGTGATCCAACATTTCAAATGTTTTAATTGACAACCTCATTTTATAATTGGGCAAGTAATTAAAAAGAACTTGTTTTCCTCACTGCTTGATGAGGTATTTGATAGAAATGCTCTTTTTCAATGCATTTGTGATCTTGAAAATTACTTACAGTCTTCTATAGGTAAATTATTTACCATTTAAAAGTGTATATTTTATTTTTAAGAATAAGGGCTACTCATGCTTATTTTCAGATTTCTCCTACATAAGATATTGCACATTAAAAACAAAAAGGATGAAGTCTTACCTTCAGCATTTATTGCTCATATTCATAATTATAAGAATGCATGCCATAAATAGCCATGTCCTTTTTATAGAGTTTTCAAATTTTTATCTAGTCAAATGAAAAATAATAGAAAATGAAGAAGTACTGGGTTTTTTTGTATTCTTCATGAATAACAGGCATTAGGTATACTATTTCAGCAGTAAATTATTAAAAGAACCAAATTGTGAAATAATATCATATAATGGGTCAAAATTATTTATACTGTCACTAGCATAAGGATCAAGCATGTGAGCTCTTCTTAATATCTCATTAGCCTGGTCACACAATGGAAGAGGATGAAAGAACAATTTTGAATGACATTTATTTCAAGTTTGGAACTGTCAGCCTCTATTATGTCCGTGGAGCCTTATACTTTCTAGCTTTAAGACATCTTGCTGCCTTGAGTGAAGCAGAATATTAAAATCCCAGTGGTCTCTTGCTCTGATCAATACGTTCAGTAGTCATCTTTCAGCATGGGCGTGTAATAGTTCTTAGTGTTTAAAGCTAAGACATAGGACAAGTCACCCTATCAGCACCCACTCCATCTGCATCAACACCACCACTCGCCCTCTATACACACGCATACTCTGTTTCTCAGTGTTCATAAACCCTTCCTGATTCAACTCGGAATACATTCCTCCCTCTTTTCTTTTTATTTTTGGTACAATCAAGTGAAATAGTTACCATTAATTCTTCCAAATATTTCCCAAATTTTTTTTGTGAAAAATTTTTTGACACTATCAAAGGGAAATTCTATGCTGTTTATGACAGAAGCCGGGAATTTCACACAGAAGGTAGTAAACACATACAGCATTTGGTGGGGGAACCAGTGCCTGGAATAATTACAGCTGCATAGAAAGTAGTCAATAAAGCTCCTACCTGACAGGCTGTTTGGGTTTAATGGACAGGGGAAAGCTCTGGATCCTAATCGTTATTGCCCTACTCAATCTCAGCAGCATTTCTTTTGTTCTGCATATGCATGTTTTAATTTATTATTATTGCCATATGATATGTCCCAATTATATTTTAAAGGCTGAGATAATATTACATATTTTTTTCAAATGTTACCTTGTAGGCCAGCCCTATGTGCAAAGGTAAAGTTCAGTACAGTGGGAGCCAGTCCCCACATGGCCAACTGCAGTTTAAATCATGGTCCAAAAAGCTTGAAAAATACACCGAGCCTGTGCCCAGAATTTTGATGGGATGATGAAATGCTGGGGAAAGAATTGCAGTGTGACCACTTACTCACCTTTGGAGATTTTTTCCCCTCTCTCCCTCTGGCGAGTGGCCATGCCCTCTAGCAGTTAATCAAAATGTTAACTCATACTGAGGAAGCTGTTTAAAAGGTTTTGAAACCTAATAAGACTTTTTAAATAGCCTCCCATTATGTAAGGCAGTGGCTCTCAATTGTGGTGTGTATCAGAGTCACCTGGGAGTGCTTGTTAAAGCACAGGTTGTAGCCCCAGGTTTCTATGATGATAATTTGCATTCTAACATATTTCCAGGTGGTGCTGATAGTGTTAGTCATGGGGTCACATTCTGAGAATTATTCATACTTACATGTAATATGAGGTGTTAATATCCCATGATTTTTCTGATGACCCAATACAAAGACATGGTACTTCTGGGTATCTGCTAACCATGGCATCATATGTATGGATGATGGCTGAACAGCTCAATTAAATGTTTCAGACTGAGCAATCTAAGAACAATTTTGCCTCTATAGTTTTTCAGATGCTAAAGTAAGTTTATTAAAGTTACCTTCCCATATTATTTTACTTTCTACCAAGATGCTATGAATTAGTATACACTTGGTACAATGGCCAATAACTTATTATGTATATCACATAATACCAGAGTGCCAGTTTGAATTATCTCATGGATTTTAAAATAACTTTTTTCCCCTGAAACAACAAACAAAAAACGGAACTGAATAGATGATACAAGAGTAATTTTTCCTGGTCTGTTCAGTTTCAGAAGTACACCTAAAAACATAATTATCATTTAAGAATAATTAACGATTTAAAAATATAAACTTGAAATAGATGTCATATAGTATTTTACCAGTTTTGTAAACTTCCTTTTTTAGTAAATATATGCATAAAATTTATATATGTATTAATTAACATATGTTTCAGTTCACCAATTATATTGGATTAAAAATTGTTCTACTTTTAACCACTTATTCTGCTATTGGTAGATAATTTTATTTATTAATTAATGAAATAGTAGCTAAGTAGAAACTAAACTCTTATTCTACAATAATATCTATATAAAATCAGATGTAATGTGAATAATGATATATCAACAAGAAACACAAGATTTCAGTAGAGCACAGAAAAGAAATACAATAACTATCTTTTACGATAATATAAAAATAATGTAATGCTGATATTATTGAGTTTTTATAGAAACTTCAATGATTTACATATCTGTAAATGTTATGCATTAAATTGCATAAGGGCTAGTACAGAAAGGTATAAAATTGAGCTTAACCTATATTTTGACTTCTTAAAACATAGAGCAGAAGGTGGAAATCACTAACATACTGAACTGAACACATACAAATCTTCATACTGTATATAGTGTAAAATAAGGAACATCTTGGACCAGCAGTTAGCATAATGGCTATGTCGCTGGACTCCCATGTAGTCGACCGCGGTTTGAGTCACGGACGTGGTGGCTTAAACTCATGCCAGGTGCATGTGCGTGCATGCCCAAGATCCCAAGAGGAGAATGGAGGAGAAGGGATCGTGGTGTGGCCATCCTCCCTGGGGTGTTATTTCTCGCTTTCTGTCTCTCTGTCTCTCTCTCTGTCTTTCTGGCAAGTGCACGCACCCTATAGTAAAAAAAAAAAAAAAGAACATCTGGAAAACAAATACGGATTTTAAAAACATGATGTTGGTTAAGTATTTAGAACACTGTTGCATATAAATAATTAATAGCTAATTAATACATAATACAAAATGCTCATTTTATTTATTTTCAGATAATATTTAAAAGCGTTTCTGTGCAGTCTAGGAGAAAATATTATTTTCTAAGGGTCAGAAATTTTTATTTTTCTTTGTATTTTGTTTGGAGACCAATTATGATCAGAGGTACACAACTACTTAAGGCCTCCATCAAGGATGTTCCAGGTAGCCTAGCAAAATACCAGGATATAAAGATGCTTGAGATTCAGTCTATTATTGCAATACAAAATAAATAAATAAATAAATACATAAAATAAACAAAAAACCTACCTACATCATACTTTTATGTGAACTATGTTATCTCTCTCAATGAAAATGAATAGTGCAAAGAATAGCTTTTAAGAACATTTTTTCCAGGTTACATCAATTATGTTCTCTCTGTGGATAGTTGAGTGCACGTGTACTTTGTCTAATACAAAGTGTTTTGTAGTATATAGTTGAAAGTGACATTATATTGACAGCTAACGAAACACTGTGATGTTCCGAATAAATGTTGAGATCACTGATTGGTAGAGTACTTTGATGGGAAATGACAGGCTGTATACCTGTGTTTTTCTAGGCATTTTTGATCAGCCTTTCCTTATCACAGCTCATGTTCTAATGATCATTGCAGGATGAAGTGGCACAGCCACTGAACCTATCAGCTAAACCCAAGACCTCTGATGGCAAATCACCCACATCACCCACCTCTCCCCATATGCCAGCTCTGAGAATAAACAGTGGGGCAGGCCCCCTCAAAGCCTCTGTCCCAGCAGCATTAGCTAGTCCTTCAGCCAGAGTTAGCACAATAGGTAAGTTCTGTTTCTTTTGTTCTTGCTCATTTTCTGTTTATGGCAATTGAATGAAATCATCTTTAAATGGCACATCACAATTACCCTGTGCATGACTTGACTTCTATAGGAGAGTTTCAATTTAAAGAAGCACATAGGTTTGTTTTAAACATACAAATAAAATTTCTAACCGAAGCTTGTTATAGTGCCCCTCTGAAGATTGAATTTTATGGGTTATGTTAATACATGTAACTTAGATCCATAAGGTTTTATGAGAAAAAAGCATAAATTACTAGTAACGGCAGACAGTGGTTCAGAGTATTTTTGTTAGATAACTTGCCTTCTCCATTACTGATATTTATTTCCATTTTTTTGCAATGTGTACAAAATATATATAATGATTAAATGCATTCTGCCTAGATCAGCAATCAACCATTAGGATGTGGAGTTTGTTCCATTCAGTTCTCCTTGAGAATTGCTCAAACACAGCAATATATTACAAAGAGTAGATAGCTTCAGTTTCCACAATCGTAATTTCAGTAAACAAGTGATAGAAAATGCTTCTATAAGCTGACTTTAAAAATTCAATTATTTTTATTTTAGTGCACATGCACTAGACTGTAAATATTTCAGCCCCCCATTTATTGATATATTTATTACTTGTATAAAGTGTAAGGAAGTTAGCACAGTCCAACTCTAAAGGGGCTCATTGTTTAGTTAAGGAAAAGTCATCTGTTGAATAGTACAAGTCAGAGCACTCCTACAGTCAGAGAGCAGATACTGTGATATTTTATTGTGAAAGGATCAAGGAAGACTAATTTGGAGAAAGCCTAATTCAAACTAAGCCTTGAAGGAAAGATAAATTCCTAGGTATTCTAGGGGAAAAAAAAAAGTAAAAGTGTATATTTTTGGGAAATGCATTGATTTGCCTAGAGCATAGGATGAGTATGTATTGGAAAATGACTGTACCCCAAACTGTAAAGGTTGGGTAAAATCTGATTGAGTGTTACCTCAAGGAATTTTCACTTTTTCTCCAGACAACAACATAATCAGAATTTTAAGAAGAGTATTGGTAGAAGAAAGATATTGGAGTTAGGGAAACTTTATTTTAGTGTAGGAAAAGCGTAAGTTATAGGAACTAGAAATAAGCAGTGGTAAATCAATGGAGAGAATATATCAGAAAGCTGTTATTAAAGGAGAATTGTCATAATTTGTCCACAATAGAATGGACCTGGTAAGGGTCAAGCTGGAGACACAGGAGTCTAGAAGTTTGACTTTATAACATGAAAAAGATTATACCTCCATTAATTGTGAAAGAGATTACAAGCAGATTTGGGGACAAGGCATAGATGTAAAAATTTAATATTATGTTGAATTTGAAATACAAAGGACTATTTAGGTAGATGCTCAGGAGAAAACCATGAACATAAGTTTGAGTCATAAAAGGGTTGCTAGAATTTTACATATGGAAAGTATTACTTGATGAGGATGTTGAAGTCAGGAGAGCAAGCATATCCACCAAAAAAATAATGTATCTGGTTAGAAGAGAAATGGGATAAAGAATCATGGGTACAATCTATTGTGTTAGTTGTCTATTATTGCATAAAATTTGACCCTAAAATTTGGCAGTGTAAAACAACCAGCACATATTATATCACAATTTCTAGGGGTCATCTTAACTGTTTAGGTCTAGTTTAGGATCTCACATATGATGATGGTCAAGATGTCCAGAGCTGCTGTCTTCTATAGACTTCACTGGGGAAGGATGATCCATTTCCAAGGTTACATGGCTGTTTGCTGGAGATCTCAGTTCTTTGCCACATGAGTCTGTCTGACCAGCTGTTTACAGTTTGGCAGCTGACCTTGCCCAGAGAAGGAGCACAGAGACTGCCACAGTGCCTTTTTTTTTTTTTTCCTGCCAACGGGGGCCGTGGGTTATGATCCATTTCCAAGGTTACATGGCTGTTTGCTGGAGATCTCAGTTCTTTGCCACATGAGTCTGTCTGACCAGCTGTTTACAGTTTGGCAGCTGACCTTGCCCAGAGAAGGAGCACAGAGACTGCCACAGTGCCTTTTTTTTTTTTCCTGCCAGAGGATGCATGTGCTTACTAGACAGAGAGAGAGAGAGAGAGAGAGAGAGAGAGAGAGAGAGAGAGAGAGAGAGAAAGGAAGAAGGGAAGGAAGGAAGGAAGGAAGGAAGAGAGAAAGTACCCCCTTCCCATGGGGAATGGTCATACCAGAGTCCTTTCTCCATTTCTCACTCCTTTCAGGATTCTGGGCACTCACATGTGCCTAGCATGCTTCTCAGGCCTACAGTCTGGGACTCAGACAATGCAGTAAGCTATTTGGGAACCAACGACCTTAACCACTATACTATGAGCTAGCCCCACAGTGCCTTATATGACCTGTTCTCTAGAGTCACACACAGTAGTTCTGCTTGACTCTGTTCATTATAGGAGAATAACTGGGTCCAGTCCAATTCAAGGAAGAGGAATTAGCTCCAGTTCTTGAAGGAAAGAATATCAAAGTATCTTTGGTCAAATCTTAGAACCACCACACTTTTTAAGATAGAAATAACTGATGAAGGGTGAGTGTCTTAGAATAAAAATTAAGATAGGGCAAGGTTATATTGGTCTCAGAAAACTGAAAGTTACAATAAAAAGAGGCATTTTAATGGTATATTCTGCAGGAAAGTTATAGAAAAGAAAAGGTTTAGGATTTAGTCAAAGTTCATGGGTTAGTGGAAACTGACAGATAAATTTCAGTAGACTGGTTTTAACAGGGATAGCTCCTGGCCCAAGTGGTTAAGGCAGCTGGATCCCATGTGGCCAACCACTCAGTTCAAGTCCTGGACCATTTGGCTTGAGCAAAATGCCAAACAAGTGTACACACATGCCCAAAATCCAAAAGGAAGGAGAGATGGAGGAGAAGGGCTGGATCCCAGGTGGCCAACCACTCAGTTCAAGTCCTGCACCAGTGGTTTGATCAAAATGCCAAACAAGTGTACACGCATGCCCAAAATCCAAAAGGAGGGAGAGATGGAGGAGAAGGGATTGCAGCATAACCATCCCTCATGGGGAATGCTTTCTCACTTTCTTTCTCTCTTTCTTTCCCTGTTCCTTCCTCTTTCCTGTGAGCACATGTGCCATCTGATGAATTTAAAAAAAAAAAAAAACGATTTGAACAGATGTTAAATGACAAATATTTGAAAAATGAGGAAAAAAACTGCAGTTGAAGTTGATATAGACTAATATTTTTGTAAGTGTGGTGTTGAAAAGTGTTTATAGTTTAAGAAGATTGAGTAGAGACAGATTTTAGAACAGAGATACATAGTCCTCAGGGGGAAGACGAAGAGTTGTAGAGACGTAGCGATGTGAAAGAGTGCAAGGGCGACAGTATAACAGCAAGCAATGACGAGAGTGGATTAGCCTTGGAAAGAAGGAAAGCTCCTGCTTTTTTTTGAAGCTGAAGGAAATGAAGGGCGAAATGGGAAAGGTCCAGAGATACTGTGTAACAGACAGAAAACTGAAGGTTAGTACTTCACGTACTTTAATCTCCACAATGTAGCATGCAAGATTATTTTCTGCGAGTAATTTAGTCTGGGGTCAATGGCATAGCAGTGAGTGAAACCGAAATTTTGAGAAGTTTGCTAAAGGGTTGGGAAACATATCTGCTTTTGTATCATTATGGTCTAGCTCTCAGTTACTCTGCTCAGCAGCCTACGTGAATATCAAGGTTAGTTTGATTTTATGGAGTAGATGTGTAAGAAAAAGCATATTTTATTTGACAGGAATGACTCACTTTCATAAAATACAGGAAGGCTCATAATATTACACTGTTGGTATGTGAGCTACCTTTATAATGCTACTAAAATATTTAATTAACAGAATAACTAATATTTTTGCATTTTTGTCATTTATGGATATTTCTACTTCAACATTCCTGAGGATTCAGTATGGCAAAGTACTTTAGAAAAGACAAGAATGTATCTAATGGCATTTATCATATGACTTTTTCCCCTACTAAAACATCTCTTATTTTTTTTTCCTGAAAAGTCCCTTCAACACATATACATCCCTCATATTTTCCAAGGATTTTAGGCCACTCCAATTTACTTTTCTCTTTTCAACAAATGCAGATGTTGAAAGCTGAAACTGTAATGAGTAATAATGTAGTTGGATAAAAGCAGTGAGGATTAATGGTGTTGTAAAGGTCACCCCTGAAAGAAGAATTATTGTGTTATGCCATTAATAAACCATGGAAAACTGTGGACCAAAAGATAACTTAAGTTATCATTAATGACATGGGGCTCTTTGCTATATATCTATTAGCTACAAATATAAAAACTGACTTTTTGAGGTTGGTGACTAATAATACAGTGTATTCTATAAGAATGCTTTTGATACGGTACGCAAATGATAGTGCCAAAGAAAGGTGATCCTTAAAAGGCATGAATAGTTCAGAGAAATGAGGGATAATTTTAGAATCTTTTGACCAGGACTTATTGACCTTTTCAACCTATGCTGTACATAGGTATAACACTTTTAACTTTCTTTTCAGAGCATTTTTTTTTCATCTATTTTGTCACTATAGTTATTCTAGAATTATTGACCCTTAACTAGATTAGATATTTAAACAATTCAGTCTAAACCTGTTATTTTGCGGATCAGGTACAGAAGCCTAAAGGAGCTAACACATACCTAGGGATTTGAAGTAACTTCCTATCAGTGTTTAGGCTTGATTCTATGTGTATTCTGTTTTGATTTTAAGGAAACGAATGTAGGAAATAACTTAGTAACTTGTCTAAACTCATAGTCAGTGGAAATCAAGGCTATGTAACCATAGCCTCCAGTTTGACTTTCTCTTTTTGGGGGAGGGGGGGGCGAAGCTTCTGCTGTAGGGCATGTGTGCTTGCCAGAAAGATAGCGAGAGACAGAGAGACAGAAAGTGAGAAATCACCCCCCAGAGAGGATGGCCACGCTACGATTCCTTCTCCTCCATTCTTCCCCAGGGATCTTGGG